CGAGCTCTCCTGGAGAATGCACAGCCTCCAGAAACCCATGTCGAGCTGAGCTCTCCTGGAGAATGCACAGCCTCCAGAAACCCATGTCGAGCTGAGCTCTCCTGGAGAATGCACAGCCTCCAGAAACCCATGTCGAGCTCTCCTGCTGAATGCACAGCCTCCAGAAACCCCCTGTGTTTCCCTTTCCGCTAAGTGACAAATGGTCCTGCAGCCTCCGTTGGCAGAGGGGAGTGCACGTCTGAAGTTTGAAGCACTTGATGCTTATCAATTGTGTAGAGCAAAGTGGAAATAAATTACATGGATCTCAAGTAACTTAGTTTCCTGAGTTCTTTGGAGATTTGAGTGATTTCAGTGGAAATCTGAGGCTCTCCAGCCCAGCAAAGACAAGAAGCAGACACGCCACGGCTGAGGTGGAGAAGCCCAAGTACAGTGGAGTTTTTAGAGGGCTGTCTTTAGACAACGCCAAAATTTCATTCTCACGTTCAGATCAGCTTCCTGGAAAAGGCAGCTGCTTTGCCGACAGTGAAGTCAGAATAAAACACAGGTAGAGAGCAGGTGAGACACACGGCATCTTTCTCCTCAACTGTGAAAGTCTGGTGACCGATTGCCTTGTTGCTTTACTTACTTTTTACGATTTTATTTGGTTGGTGATATTATTTTCCTGGGGCTTGTTACAGTAAATGTACAATACTTTTTGTTTCTTTGGAGAATAAAATGCAAAACCCTTAGTTTCTAGACAGGAAAAAACAGGACGGCAGCAAAAGGCTGAGGTGTCATTTGACCCTCACGGGCTGGCGGCTTGTGGTCAGAGCGCCTGGCGTGGGGCGGGTGCTGTTTCTGTCTCCACCCCCCCCCCCCCCACCAACTTCTCCCAAACCGTACAAGCTTCAGAGGAATCCCTGGAGCTAAGGGACCAAGTCCTGGGGGCTCGGCAGTGGGGTGAAACTCTGGGAAAACCTCACAACAGGGCAGGCGGCCGCGTCCAGAAACAGCTCCACGGGGAGAGGGCTCCGGGGATGTTTTCTAATGTTGTCACAGACTTGGAATCAGCAAAACATGTCCTTTAAAGCAGATAATCTCTGGCTGCTGCGCTGTTTTTCATACAAAAACATTTTTATATGAAAAACTTCCTTTCATAAAAAAGTTACATATTTTCTCCAATAGTGCAAACAAGTAGCTAAGGTGTGAGCAGCAACAAACCCATGTTTATTCTAAGAACTCAATGTCGCTTCTCCTCACTTCCCTCCTTCTATTATAAAAGGACATCCATGATGACCGCCTGGGCCTGGGTATGTTTTTTTTAAAAAAAGATCCTTTTGCCTTAAATTCCATTAGTTTTTGAACCTCTGGAATTTCACAAGAGGTGTCAAATTCAGCTGACCCCAAACTTTTCACTTGAACAGAAATAGAGCCTGGAGGAGAAAGCCCTGCTGTGTGCGGGGTACACGACCCGTAAGAGGAATGACAAGAGGGTATTTTAAATGATCTTGTCCAAGCCCGGGGCCCTCGGGGTCTGCTTTTCCTCTGAGAGGGGCAGACGGGGCTTTGTTTAGATTTGCCGTGGCTGCCGCATCATCGTGCAAAACCAAACCTGACACAAGTTTCTTATTTACCAACAACGCTGTCACCTTTTTTCTTCTCTTCATCTGGCCTGTGGTGCGTTGCTGTGCATTCCTTCCTTCAGCCCTTAATCTGGGCCGACGGGGTGTGTGTGCGTGTGCGTGTGCGTGTGCGTGTGTGTGTGTGTGCGCGCACCCCACGACGGATCGGACCGGCCACTGTTTGCACGCCGTGCCTGCCCCGAGCAGGGATGGAGGCCGGCGCTCCAGGGCGGACGCGGCTGCTCCGACAGCCTTTTGCGACCCTTGCTTAGAGGACGCTTTCCGGTCTGAAGCGTCTGCCCCCGGATGTGTCTGCTTCTTGGCCCGGCGCTTCTCGGCGACGCCGGGGGCGTGGAGGACAGGCTTCCTCCCTCGGGGCCGCGGGGACGGAAAGCTGCCTCGGTGCTTCGGAGCCGTCCAGCATCACGGGGGCCTGGGGGGGCGGCGCGCCGTGTGGGAAGCTCTGCGCCAAGGCCGCGAGCGGGTGCCCGGGGAGCACACCTGGTGGGACCGAGGAGGGGCGGGGTGAACTGGCCGCAGGCGTCTGGGCATGCTTAGCGGGGGAGCTGCAGGGGCGCGAGCGGCGGGCGGCCCATCCTCCGGCAGAGCGGCCTCCGCAGCAGGCCCGGCACGTGTACTCTTCACCAAAGCGGCTCGGGGGCGGCACGCGCGAGCCTGCGCCCCAGGGAGGGCGGGGTGAGGGCTGCCCGCCTGGAGACGCCCCAGGGCTTTGGGGAGCTGGCCTGGGACTCCAGGGCTCCGCCAGCTGACCTCTGCGCTCGGAGGGCAGAGACGATTTTCTTTCCTCCTCCAAGAGAATGCTGCCTTCCTCGTATCTGCACAGAGACCGAGAGGGACCCTGCTAAACCCCCGCAGCTGTGCGGGGCTCAGCCCTGCCTGAGGGGTCTGCCTGGGGCCAGGCTGGAAGGCGTGTGGCCCAGGTCTTGCGACCCCCTGTCCTCTGTGCCACATCCGTCTGATTTGTTGGGAGTTGCCTTTTCATACAGGGACACTCTTATGATTATGCAGAATATTCCGTGGCTTCCCGGGGCCTCCTGCCCCTCCCAGGATCTGAAATTGCACCTTGAGGGTCTCTTCCTCCAGCGAGTCTCCCCACGACAGCTGTGCACGGGGAGGTGCTTGGAGGCTCTCGCAGAGCTGGCTGGGACCGGGGGCTGTGGAGGCATCACCCCGCTGTCACCGGCAGCCGGGGGTGGACACAGCTGCGGCACCGTGGGGAGAGCGCAGGGTGTGGGAACCACTCACCCATCACAGGCCTCTGTTGGGCCGTGCGTGCGTGCGTGCGTGCGTGTGTGTTACCGAACCCAGGTCCCGCTGCTCACCGCTTGAAAGCCAATTCTCCAGAGACAAGGGTTGCTCGGAAAGGAAAGTTTGCTTTATTTCGGAGTCCGGCAACCGGGGCAGAGGGTGGGCTCCTGTCTGAGAACCAGCTCCCGATGGCTGCTCAGGGGCCAGGGGCTTTTAAAGGGCAGTTTCGGGGTGTACAGGCGGAGCGGGGGGCAGCACAGCGCAGTCAGCTCTGACAGTCGTCTTGAAATCGGGAATGTGGTGGTCTGATGGGCGTCACCTTGGCTGTTTTAAGTACAGTTAACCCTTAGCTGCAGGGTTTGTTCCCGTTTCTTTGAGGCCAGTTCTCGGAATCGTGTGAAGTGGGACAGCGTATGGCGTGGCTTCAGTTTGGTCGTGATGCAGTCAACCTCCTCCACCTGGCGGGGGCTTCGGTACAGCTCACGGGATGCGGCTCAGAATATGACCTGCAGCCCTTAAAGCAGAGCTAAAGGCCCTTGACTGTGCTTAATGACTAAGCCATGATTGTTTGGTCTCCTTTGACTGTTTTCCTTCGTTTCTGCATTTTCTCCCTTCTCGGATTAAACTTACTCTTTGGCTAAAGGTTTCTCGCGGAGGACGTAGTGGTGGGGACAAGGGCCGTGGGGCCCTGCTCCGGTTCATGTGGACTCTGCCCCTCAGGTTCTCCAGCCAAGGTTTGGCACCCTGTGACGCGGGTGCTTGGAGGTGCCTGGTCGTGAGGCCCCGTTGCTGCTGCTCCGGGGAGATCCTGGGCAGCTGAAGGTGGGCCACGTCGGCTGCCCGTTCCCAGAGCCACCTGCCCCGTGAACCGGGACAGGGTTAATGGATAACGGGGTCCTTCCCCATCCTAATTCAGACGTTCCGCCATGAGCCTTCAGAGCTGGGCTGAGCTAGTCCAAATATCACTGTGTTTACCTGACCTAGTTAAACGGCTTGTTTTTTTAAAGGAGGAGCTGAATTCAAAGCTCTTCACCCCAGAATCACTGCACGTGAGGTGGGGAGGGATCCTCGGACTCCTTCCGGCTTTGTTCTGCAGCAGAGCCGTGCACCCCGGTGGCCAGAGCACAGGTGGAAGCCCACAGCCCCGGGGTCTGGTTCTCAGGTGTTAGCTGTGTGAACACCAAAGCACCTGCCATCTGTTTCTTTCTTTCTACACAGGGAATCGAGGCACTGACCCCGGCTGCTCTAATGACCGCATGAGGCGGTGGGAGGGCCTGGCGCTGGCATCATTGCCGCAGGATTACCATCTCTGGCGCACGCGAGTCTGCCGCCCTGTCTGGGCTCAGAGAGACGGGTGCAGGGCTGGCCTGGCCGCTCTGTGCTGTGTGCCCTGGAAGACGCCCTCAGGTCCTGCCCTTGGTGCTGTGATGGGACCAGATCACGGCCCGAGCTGCCTCTTCTTCCTGTAGGAAGAAAACAAGTTTTAAAAAACTCAAGACCTGACATGATTTTGAAGCCAGGCTCTGCCCTGTCCTGTGAGACCCGTGGAATGTCCTGTGAGGTCTCGGCTTCCTCTTCTATAAAATGGGTGTCACGGCAGCCTCTTCCTGGGGGGTTGGCAGGAGTGGACCATTCCTGGGGCGGCCAGAGTCACTGTCTTTCCGGCAGTGTCCCCATCATCTGCGGTGGGGCTCTGGGAGCCCCTGGCTCTTGGGGCATCAGCGCTCGGCTTCCTCGGGCTACACGGGGCCACAGTCTCAATCGGTTGGTCACTCTGTCACTTGGGCGCTGCCGCGGCTCCCACCCCCTCCCGCCCCATAGGCAGGAGGCCGGTCCCAGCCTCTCCTTCTTGGGTCCTGGCTCCTGACCAGGTGCTCAATAAATATTTGGTGAATGATGAATACGGAGGGAAAAGCCACTCCTGCTGCGTTTCTGGACTGTCCTCCATGCTGTAGCCTTGGGTCCATATCCCAGGCACTGGCTACGTGGCCCTCAGGCCTAGGGCCCCTGACATGAGGTGGCCGCGCTGTCCCACCGTTCCAGTGATCTTCCTCTCTTATTAGGACGTGGTACGGGAATCTCACTGGCATGTTATTGTTTTCTTAATCACTACATCATAATTCTAATGCCTTTTCCAAAGGGAGAAGTTTTTCACTGGCTGTGTCTGTATAAACGTGTGTATTGACATAAATAAGCTAAAGTTGAAGTTAAATCAGTTATTAAAAACTTACAAAAGCTCAGGCATGCCAGCTTGTATTCAGCCTTTAGAAGGTCTGCAAACTGAGGTGACGGGCTCTGCTCGCAGCTCACATAGCCGGGCTGCAGAGATGGCCCGTGGGAAAGCTCCTGAAAAAAATGTTAGGGCCTTTCTACTGGTGGAGAAAGGAGTGTGGACCCAGGAAGCCAGTTTGCACGCTCTCCTACCCACTCTCCCTGGAGCCCTCCCGCACCCCCCAAAGGTCCTGCTCCCCACGTCCGCGGGCAACTGGAGGCCTGGCCAGTCACCCCACCTTCCCGGCACCCGGGGGACCTGGGATGTGACGCACCGGCCTCACCCAGGAAGCCCAACACCTTCGCTCCCGGGCTCAGGGCTTCCCATGCGACTGCTGCGCACCCGACCTGACGCTCACCTGTGAGCGCCGAGGCGCGGGCCTCCCTCCCCTTCCCCTTCCGCCCGGGTGAGCCCCCCACGCCGTGTCCCCCTGCGCCGGTCCCGTCGTCCGCCGGCGCCCCACAGCCGGGGGCCAGGGCCCCGCCGGCCTCCCCGCACCTGTCCCGGGACCGCCGCCCCCGCCCGCCTGCCCGCCCGTGTCGCTGGCGCCGAGGCGCTCCTGGCTCTTGCACTCGGATGACTTGCGTTAACAGCTCATTTAGCGCCGCGGCCACGCGTGCCCGCGCTGCCTCCGCCCCCGTGGGCGCTGCAACCCGCGCCTTTACGAGACCCTTTCAAGGGCTCGCAGGCCCGGCCTCCCCCTCCACCCGGCCCCTCCGCAGGCCTATCTGCGCTGCGATCTTGAGTCCTTGCAGGAAAGGAGCTATTTCTGGCCACCGGTCACTCCACCCAGGGCACTGGTCTCATCTAAGATTTACGGTGCTTTCCTGTGTGCGCCTGGGGATCAGGAAATCTGTTTGCTGTCACAGCAGACGCCTGGCTGCTGCCATGACATACTTGGCAGAGTTTTTGGACAATAATTTCTGTAGAATGTTGAGACACACATACAGGATATTTCTGATGCCCATGGACACATGCAACGTGCCCTTCATCCCTGGGATCTGATGTCTCCCAGGCTCCTCTGAGATGCTCCTTGGTGCTAACACTGAGTCCGTGTCAGGAGCCTGTGTTTTGGGTTTGGGCCCCTTCCTGAGTTCTAACAGGGGAGGGTGCCTGCAGCTGGGGGACGGGGTGGCCCCTCCAGAGAATGGCAGAGAAGAGGGCTTTGACATCTGTCGGAGTTCTGTAAACTCTAGCTCTTCTCTCCTTTTGAAGAATTCCATGTCCCCCTTGCTTAGATTTCTAACATAGACGATGTTCCAGGATAACAGTAATACTCGGGCTTCTGCTTACAGAGAGGAGGCTAGTCCCCGCGTGCAGAAGATGTGGAACGGGCGGACCTGGCGTGGGGCGGGAACTTGTGAGCCGCGTGTGTGGACTCAGAAAGGGGCCCCAGATGAGCCCAAGCAGAGGGCTCGGGGGCGAGCGGTGGGGACCTAGGGGAGGGCAGGTCTTTTCTGGGCCGGCTTAGTGCAACCCGGGGGTTCCCATCTGCATCCCCACGAGCCCAGAGTAGCTCAGACCAGGATTGCCTGGACGGGGCCCGAATTCCTGCCTCTCCCGGCGCCTCACTGCGTCCTGGGGGGCTGGAAGCTGGCCCCTCCTGCGCCCCGGGAGACCAGCCCCGTCAGCAGTGGACTCCCCTGCGGGGTGGCCTGGGGGCACGGTCACCACCGTGTGCTTTGTTCTGCTGGCCGGTCCCCTCCACGTTCTCTGACCACTTATCCACTCAAACCGAATGTCCCACCATGAGCTCACCTACCATTTGGCAAAAAACCCTGATTGTGCCCTCAAAATGAGTGGCTTTGAGGTGACCCCACCCCCTGAGGAGAGAGGCAGAGGTGCCTGCTTCTCTGTGACGATGGAAACACGTTCCTGAGCCCGAGCTCGTGTCCCTGAGCTGACCACCGGCGGCCTCGGTGTCACCGTCAGTGACCTGGTCCTCCTTCCCGGTAAGTTCTCAAGAGCTTTTGGCAGAACTGCCGCGTCAGCTCCGTCTCTGGGGCCCCGAGCCACCCTCTCTGCCCCTGCTCCCCACCCGGGCTCTTGGCTGGAGGCCGCCTCCTGTGCAGGTGCTTCCAAGGTGGGGCTGCTAGATCCTCAGGCCAGGCTGTGTTTCTAACCGAGGAGCCGTCTACAAGTGGCTGAACGGCTGTCATCTACAGTGTCACCTGCTGAGAGCCTGGTGGTCTGTGCTCCTTGTACTGGGGACATAGCCGGGCAAACACCGGTGGGGTCTCTGGCCTGATGCGCGGGGTCCAAGCTCCCAGGACCACCAGCTCCTGTCTCCGGGGGTGAACGCTTGGAGTCCCTTTCACGGCCCCTCGCGTTTATTTTTCATGCTCTGTCAAGGCATATCGGTTCTTTCTGACCCATTCTTCCTTTTTCGCCCTCCTTCTCCTGCTGCCCTGGTCTGAACTCCTACCTGCTTCTCATCTCTTCACACCGCCCTCCCCCGTAACTCCCCTCACCTCTCCCCCGGCAGCTGGATGACTTCTCAGAAAGGGCAGATACGATCAACTTAACTATTTGGTCAGCAAGCGTGTACTGAGCACCTACTGTATGCCGGACACAGGGAAAAGCGCTGGGGCTGCAGAGAGAAGGAGCCAGCCCTAGACACCCCCAGAGACCCCCAGAGCTCACCATCTCCTCCACAGCGACCTGGACTAAAACACAGAGCGATCAACAGGTGCTGGGAGACAGAAACGCTGTGTCCTCTCATCTGCCAGGTTAAACTCCCGTTCACCCTGGACCCCGAGCTCCCGCCACCCGGGCCCAGCCTGGCTTCCCGGCTTCCTCTGATCTGCTTCCTGTCCCACCCCGCACGCCTGTCTCTCCTGAGCGGCCGCCCTTCCTGCCGTTCCGCTTCTGCCTTTTCTCTGCGTCTGCGATGCCCCACCCTGACCGCCCCCATCGGTTCAAGTTCTGCCTCGCCTCTAAACCGGAGCTTGTATTCAGAATCCCCCCACCCGTCTTCCTCAGACTTCCTGGCCTTTCGTTTGGGCCTCCTCCACGACATCGTCAGACACCATCAGCGCTGGAGCCGAGGGCTGCGTGCACCCGCACGCCGTGGGCTCCCTAAGCGCCAGGCCCCGTTCCTCATTGGGCAGCGCTTTCCAGGGAATGGCTGATTCCGGGGTGAGGCTCGCGGAGGGAGGAACCATCCCTGGGGCTGGTGGGGGGCTCACATCCAGGGTCCTTTCCAAGAAGAGGGTTCTGGACAGGACCCACGGTCCGAGAGAAGACAGGGCAGTACAGCTGGAACGAGAGGCTGGTGCCTCTAACTGAGCATATTTCCAGTGAGAATTCAGATATGGTTGTGTCTGGGACCCCAGAAGAAAAAGACCTCATTTTAAGTCGGTAAAGGGAATGACTCAACCCTGGTCTCAGGGTGAAAGGAGAATAGACCAGCCCAGGAGTGGAGGGAAGTGATGACCGGGTGACTTCTGGGAGTCAGCTGAACTCTTTTAACCATCTACCTGAGTAAGGCGGTGTGGCCTTTCGCAGTCTCTGCTGTGTGCAGTATGTGTCCTGGCTTTTCTTCTCGCTCCTGGAGAAGGAGAGGTGGTAGAAAGCTGGGCCCCGGGGAGAGTGACACTGGAAAGGATGGAGGTCATAGGGGTCATAGGAGCACAGAGGCGACCTCCTCACAGGTGGCTGGGGAACCGGGTCCTCAGGACCTTTTAGGATGCATTTGGTTGCAAGTAATTGAAAGCCCACCTCAAAGTGGCGGGAAGAGTAAAGACAGGCATTTCTCATACTCTGAAAGGCCAAGGCAAGGGGCCCCAGTGTGGCAACTCCACTCCCTGGGCTTGACCCCGAACGGCAGCCAACCTGGGTGCCCACCTGGACGTGCGGGCGGCTGAAGGGAGTGGGTCAGTGCCTGTAGCCCGGCAGCGAGGCCTCGGTGTCTTCTAGCTGCTCCTCGGTCACAGATTCAGTGCAGGCTGTCCTGGCATAGGGCACTCTGTGCAGGTTTGGAGAGATCGGGGGCCCCCTGAGCTGCTGGCCTGTTTCTGCACGTGGGTAGAGACACCATGGCCTGCCACAGAGGTGGTGCCCTCAGGGCTGGGCGTCCAGGGCCCGGACACCACCGTCGGGAGGGAGGGGAGGTGCCCAGGCCTCTGTGGCTGATGAGCAGAGAAGGCAGGGAAGGGGCTGAAGGCTGTGCCCCAGGCCGGCAGAGACGCGGGGCTGGGCCCTGCGGTGCTGTCCCCAGAGGCTGGCCCGGTCACCCTGCTGGGATAAACAGCTGTCCACGCCGTGCACTTATCTGCACACAGAGGGAGGGAGGCCCTGGGTGGGTGGAGCCAGACCTGCAGGTGGGCGGCTAAGAGCCGCCCAGAGGGCTGGCCTGTGGGAGGAGGTGGGACCACTGGGGCCTGGGAGCCGCTGGCCCGAGGCGCCGTAGGCGTGACTCCCGAGCTGAGCGGGGGCCTCCCGTCGTGTGGGCGCGGGGGCGGGCCCTGCTGCTCTTCCTCTGGGCTGCGTGACTTGCACGAGGTGAAGGCTAAACTGCCTCTGGTTCAATCTGTATGAAGATAAACACTGTTCCCAGGAAGCCTCACAAGGGGCGGAGGCAGTGGTGAGGGCCCCGTGGAGGCTTTGGGACGCTGCTGGCCTCCTGCAGGCACCAGGCTCCCCCGGGGACACCGCCCGGGCCCCGGGCTCCAGGCCTGACTCCGCGGCCAGTACAGCCCCTCCCAAGTGTGCCTCACCAGACGGTGCCCGTGGGGCCTGTGTTTCCTCTTGGGCATGCCGTCCCCTGTCCCTCTGCTTCCTGGGGTGAGGCCCCCCGGGGCTCCTGCAGCCGGCACTTGGGGGACCCACACCCCAGCCGCTTGCTGTCACATCCACTGGCTGAGCCGCCTGCTGTGCCTGGACATCACACCCCGTGCCCTGCATGTAGCCCGGCCTGTCGTCCTCAGGACCCTCTGGGCGCAGAGCCCCCGGGGGTCTCCGCGGAGGCTGTAGAGTGGCCCAGCTGCACGGTGTCCCCTGCTATGTTCTCAACCCCCATACGGTCCCCTTGGGCCCACGGTCATCTGCCGCGATGGCTGTGGTGACGGCAGCATCAGTGAGCGATGAGGTGAGACCAGAGGCGCAGGAAACAATGACTAACGCGGAAGAGCCGGTGGTGTCTGGACAGGCGGTGACCCACTGTCTTCTCAGGGGCCTCAGTTGGCTTCGCGCGGGGACTGGCGCACTCACTTCTTCTCCAGGCTGGTGGTGCATCTGGGCCTGGAGGTCTGTGTGCAGGCGCTCCCGGGCAGTGCTGTCTGTCCCAAGCCCAGGACCACCATGCAGGCTGCGCTGTGTGTGTGACCTGCACCCTGGCTGGGCGCCAAGGCCTCGTCTGGCCTGGGGGCACCCCCAGGAGTCTCATCCCCAGCTGCTGTCGGGAGTCTGGCTCACTGGAGAGGCAGGAACCTGGGTGCACCTGCCTCTCGGGGGGCTCCTCCCTGTGTCTTCATCTGGGCCAGGTCAGGCCACACCTCCTTGGTGCAGGGCTGAGGCCGCAATCTCAAGGGGTCATTCCCAAAGGACACCTACAAATGTCTAGGAAGGTCTAGGAAGGTCTAGGAAGAAATGAACATTTACAGTGAGAAAACTTACAGGATCCTGATGTAGAAAAATTGAAATTCGTTTCAAAGTTGAATTTGGTTTAAGAATGCAAGGGAAGAAAGAGACATGACAATCTCTCTTTGTCTCTTTGCCGTCTCTCTCCCTGCACACACATACATACAAATCCTACCCTCAAGTGCACGCACGCACGCACTCCCATACGTGCACGCACGGACACAGACAGCGCCCCGTCGCAGGCCAGGCTGTGTGAGCG